CTTTCCCTAATACAAAAAGAGAAAATTCCATAAAATGGAAGGCAATGAGATTCCATGTTGGTAACGCAGAATTATTTTGCATGAAATCTAAAAAGTTAAAAACAGTGCTACAGTTCTCTAGGACTGAAGGGTCTCACTATTTTGTGGACAAAAAAGGTACCAGTAGTTAACCAGCAGAAGCAACATTTTGGTAGTGTTAATTTTCAAGCTTTAGGGCACAAACCAGCATTTAGTAAGAACAGAAGTCACAATAAACCCTGGCATGAAGCAGAAGACAATCTCAAATTTGCTTAATGCACGATTCTTACACACCCCTCTGAAAACTTTTATACTTAAGGTGGTCAGTGCCAACAGCTGAACAGGCTCATAGTGTATTTTGTCCAGTACCATTCTTAGCCCACTCGACCCAGATTCTAAAGTAGCAGCAGGATCCAAGCATTTCTATTAAACTACACGTAAGTTATACTCTCAGTTGTCAGTGTAATGCGTGAGCAGGCTTATGTTACTTTTCACCATAAGTGAGATGTTAGGACAACAGTAAGTCTTACCCCTTTCTTTCCTGGAATAGCACACTCCCAGTTCATTAGATTCATTGTGCCATCTGGATTTTTTGTAGGTACTGCTACAAATCCCTGAATTAAGGCAAAAAGCCAAAGGGTGAAGATTTCAGAAGATGTAGTTAGAATACTTCATGACATATTTTATCTTTACACAGAGTTATTTCTTTTTGCACTACATAGTTTTAAGCAGCTTTTTTATTTAAAAAATAATTTAATAATAAAAAAATCACATTAGGGTAAAGAAAAAAAAAATCATCATTACAACACCAAAATAACTGCAGAGTCAGAAATGTGACAGTTCTCATACTTACAAATGGATGATCTTTCCTCCAGGCTTTTCTCTCCTGTGCAAGTCTGCTAAGAGCTATGCCAGACATATTCAGAGTCCCTCTAAAACAAAAATAATTGCTTTTAGTATAAACTTTTACTTATAGTGTAAACAACACATTATATTATCTGTTTATAAGCCCTGCTCACTCAGGAAATATTTTGGCCTCTGATTTTCACTACTGTAGCCAAGACACATGTTTTTGCACACCCTGCAGAAGTTAACAGCAGGAGTAACATCAAATTTCCCCATGTCAACAACCTCTTAGTTACTGGACTTGACCTACAAAATACTATCCCCACCTTGTGTTTTATATTTGAACCACATCTTAGAAACAACTTTGACAGTAGCTTGACAACAGAAACACTATTAGTAATGGGAAAAGTGCTCAAACTTCCTCCTTGTGCAACTGATAAACACCTATTTATCTCCTTACTACACCACGAAAGATATGGCTTTCTTCTGTGGGCAAACACCTGTCCTGCTCCTGTTTCCAACAAACAGGGGAATGAGAGATGTTATTTTTAGACTGTAAATTCCCATTGAAAGCCAGTATTCTACACAAAAGCAACACGGGCACAGAACTTAACAAAATCACCTCAGTTTTGCAGTGATGCCACTATACAACTTCTAGACAGCAGCAGGAACAGACAGCAATACAGATCTGAGCTAAGGAAGAGCCAGTGGCCCACTCATTCCACAAAGCAGGTTTTCAATTCCCGTATAAACTGAATGATCTTTCTGCACCTTCACTGCCTTAGTAACAGCCAAGCATGATGACAGACTGCAGAATAAACACGTAGCGCACAGGTCGCTACTGAACGTGATGCAAGAACAGTTCTAGACATGATGGTTGCAACAGAGTGGTGCTTTCAAATTCAGGGGAGGATTCCCCATTCACCCAGAACAGTAGTCAAAGCAAGAGTTTATTTTTCATTGTCAAGCTGTATCTAAACCCAGGGTTTCATTAGCCACACAGTCAAAACAAACTCCAATGAAGGTTTTTAATCCTCCTCCCTACTGCACTTCTACCCATTTTAAAAAAAGAGCTGATACTTAGCAGTTGGATAAGTCAAGCCAATTTGTTCTCAACACCACATGTAGCTAACAGCCTTTATGACAGCCAGGAGAATAGAATTCTTCCACTAAACAAGCTCACAGAATTAGCGAAAGGAGTGTTACCACCCTATTAAAACAAACATTTAAACACTGGTTAAAAATTATGCAAAATTCATGTTCTATTAATATGTATATTACTTGTAAGAGTACTGCAGTCTACTACTATAACCATATGAATTGTAGCTCACAGAGATCCTTGTTTTAGAAATATCACACATTCATGCTATGCCCTTTAGCATGATGTTCATGCTGAAAAGATTTACCAGGCACTGACCTATTCCATGTAAGTTATGTAGATATGTTCATCTCAAGTTCATCTGCTATACCCTTTAAAGATTAGAAGCCAGCACGCTTCCAATTTAAGTACTTGCACATCAGCAAAAGTGACTTAGAAGTGCAGACACCTTAACTAAAAGTCTTTAAAAGCACCAGATTAAGAGTTTTATGCAGTTCCTAGGACAGTTGGTATTTCAAACCCCTCCTTCTAGCTTTTATTCAAAGTCAGTTTTGCATGGATGGCCATAATACATAATTTCAACTTCAAACTAGCAATTAAATTCATGTCAGATAAAGCTTTTAAAAAGGGACCATTAACATTCAGTCAATACGCACACACAAAAAATCCTATATTCAGTCCAATATAGGATTCCCAACACATGCATCTGTATCTTGGTTATGTCAGAAGATTTGCTAGACTTCGTCAACACAAACCGTATGTACCACTTCAGATTTTAGTCTGTTCACACACAGGAGATGTGGAGCCGCTGAAAAGATATTGTCAGAACAAAAAAAAAAATCTCCCTTAACCACATTATACAGGGAGTCATTTTAAATATTTTGTGAGCCCATGCCCTTGCAACAGATGTAAATGAACTACTGAATATATGGCAGAATTTCAGTTGTGCTGTTAGTACCTGGTAGTCCACTGCAATACTACTAATCTTCCCATAATAATTTGATTAAGTTATTTGTGCTTATAAACCATTAAAATATTCTTAGATAGTTTAGTAACTCAGCTACCTTTTCTGCCAAGAAAGATATAATTCATATATTTGAAAGCATCCTGTAATTTTTCCTGTGGCTAACAGCCAATTAATTACATGCACCTCAAGGGAAATGCCAGCTTCTCAAAGGGCATATAAACAACGTACGTCCTACAAAACATTGCCAATCAAGTAACTTTTCAACAGAAAAAAAAAACAGGTTTTCAGGCTCTGCATCCTGCTTGCTTTTGCAACTGGTTATGCACTATACTGTGCCCTAGTAAATCAAAGATTTTCTTATGTTCTATAAATACCTTTTCAAATCTTGAGGCATTTGACTTAGTCAAGCACTGATAGACTACATCCAAAATTTCAGTGTATATGAGAGACCACAGGCTTCATGTATACATTCTCCACAGGCTTCAGTTACCCTGCAGACGAGCATCTACAACCTCATCACAAACTACCACCAGGTAGAGACAAAAGACGACTGAAAGCCCACTTCAGAAATTGAGTTCCTGTTAGATAAGCACCCCCTCAAAAGCAAATAAGTCTATTAACAAATTGCCAATATATACTCTCTAGCAGTTCTTCAGTGAAAGAATTTAACTTTAGTTCTGCTGGAGCTTGAGACTGATCATCTCAGCATATATTTTGGTCTCAGAAATTACCGAGTAGCAGGAAGGAGTGAGATACTAAGTGAGTATTCAATCTGAAGATATGATATTCTCACTGCTACTATTATCTTTTTCAGTAATTTATGTGCATGGTTTGTTCGTTTGGGTTTTTTTCCCTCTCTCTCCTTTGGAATAACAGTTTGCCCAAATATCTGTATGTTAAGTTTAGCTCTTGTAAGCTTTTGAAATACCTCACAAATGCAAGACATCTCTATTAACCTGAAAGTTAGAAATTAAAGAAAAAAACAAACACCACACACACCACCAAAACCACACAAACAAACAAAAAACTCCAGTTCTTAGGGTTTTGTTTTTTTTTTTTTAATATCACATCTGATTTGCTTTCTTCAACCGAGAAATTTACTGCTAATGAACAGAACTGAAGTCCCAATGTATTTATGCGCTACATCACTGGAAAGAACACAAACTTTTGCGCCAGAGGAAGTACATCAACCCTACCTTGCAGGGGCCACACAAGCCTAGGAGACCAGTCTTCACATTTTGTTTGGTTTTAATCCCCCCAAACACCCTGGCATTAAGAGGTAGCAATGTCCCTTTTACTGCTATCAACTCGTTAGAAAATTAACAGAAACTTCCAAATTTACTCAGTAACTTGCCTCTGCTGCTGTACTACTACCTATTTTGGAAAAAGGGACAAAACAAAACCAACACACTCATAATAGGCACAAACTTTGTGTTCCATTACAGATCGTCTTACCCATCTATACCCTCTGATGGGGGAGACAAGGGAACCTACTTCCAAACACAAAAAGCAGGTCTTGGAAAGAAGCGTTCCCGTGCCACAGAAACAGCAATCACACCCACAATTCTGACCCGTGACAAGTCCCTGAATATATCAACAACATGCTCTTTAAGTCTCAAGAACTTTCAATAGCTCTTATTAATTGCAAACAACAAGAAAAAAAAAAATCGATGATTGCTAGCCTCACATTTTTACTTTGCAGGTTGAATACTGACACAGGAAGAAATTATCAGTTGGAGTAGCTTGCCCAAAACCACACAAACTTTACTTTTCAGAAGGGTGGAGAAAGCCAAGGGCTGGGGTTTAATCAAAGCAGGCAGACCCTGGACCGGCACAGAAAGTCTCCTCCTGCCTGCGGCGTGAAGAAGGTAGAAGAGACGGTACCAGCCGAACGGCTGCCGCAGGCACAAGAACAACAAAAGGGGCGCGCGGCAGGAGGGC